GCTCCGTGACTTCCCCCTCTTCTACCTGTGCCCCCTCTATTTCCAGGATGCATCTTCTCCACCATATAACCCATAGGACAGCCCGCCTTCCCAGGCAGGACATATTCTCTTTGAACATATTCCCTTGAATCTGGGGATAGTGTCCCAGAAGTATGGCCCTCCATTCCCATGGCCAAGTCGAGCCTGGTACCATGTGTCGCCAAATCCTGTCCCACCACCTCCACAGTAGGACAGTCGCGAGACACTGAAGGAAGATGTGCTCTATCGTCTCGGAGCATTTTTTACTGGGGTAGCCCTAGAGACATCTGTGACACCAAGGCAGTGCTCGCCCCTGCTGTTCCAAATGGGAGTGATCTATTAGCCAATCGTTAGTTGGTAGGCGCCGGTATGCAATCTGCCATTGTAGGGCGGAGATCTTTGTCGGCCTCTTTCCATAATCCGCAAACCACCTTATGGGTTTTAGCAAGCAGCGATCCACGTTGAAATGGCGATACCATCTATCTTCTACAGTATCTCGCAGCCTGCGTTTAGGTCTGAGCATTCGGTATACTGACTTAGATTTTAGGCCAGCAAGTGTTAATGACCGTGCCCTTCCCCCCTGCTTGAATTTCCAGAGCTTCTCGGATCATTCCAGGACCAGTGCCACTCCTCGGGGTCGAAGGGGAGGTCCTCAATCGGGATCATGGGTCGATAAGCTCTTCATCCTCTACATTCGTGTATAATTCAGATGCGATATACTTCCTTTTTTTCCTTCCAGATAAAGGGTTGTTTGTTCCCTCGTAGTTGATCCTCCTTTTGAATGGAGAAGACTTCGATCAGCACTTGCGTTTGGTCTACCAAGTGAGGCCCTCCTACTTGATTTTCACGGTTGGGGAAACCCACCCAGTCTCCTTGTACCAAACGAGGGCCCTTCCGGAGGGTGATGTACCAGTGGAGGGGGAAACTGTCAATGAGATCGTTAAGTGCGTCCTCAGTGAAATGACAATATCGCAACCATGAACGCATTATTTCTACACTTTTCCAGTTCCTTGCACTTGAGTCCCAAAGGTCCCCCACCCTCCTGACCCCGTGTTTCACCCAACCTTTCCATGGAGAGTCTGAACTACATCTCATGCGACCGAGAGAGTCCGTGATCAGTCTATTACCAAACAGGGGTTGTCTGAAAATTTCCTCCCACCTATTTGGTGTTGGGCGATCATGAGGGCTAAGCTTCCTCCATACTCGTAGGAGGTGCAGCCATTGTTCATCCACGGGGTCCACACCCCATTTCTATATTTCCTCGGTAGCTTCCAGCTCCTGTCTTTGAGCCACGCTAGAGGATCGGTCTTGGGTGGGGCCTCGGGGGCTAGGGCTACAATTTGTGCCAAGGCGAGAGGGACCCAGGGAGAGGATGATGAGAAGATGAGATGTCGGAGCCAACGAAAGTGGAGGGCTTGGAACTGTGTAGACGGATCCACAATTCCAAGCCCCCCTCCGACCTTTGGCTGAATTACCAAATCCCATGCTACGCGACTAATCGCATGGGGATTGTTACTATCTCCTCTCCATAAAAAGGCCGCCAGTTGTCGTTTAAATCACTTGCGGCCCCTGGTGCTCATGGGGCATAGTATGGTTTTATACCAGAGTGTGGTTAATACTACATTGTTATTAAGCCCGTCCGAATATTGAAGTATGTTTGTTGTTCCACCCTGCGAGCTTATTGTATGCCGGCCCTACCGGCCATTCGTCATTAGTGACTGGTTTACCCTTAGCCGTGACCAATGCTCCCAGCATTCTTAGTGGGTCATCAAGGGGAAGCCAAGTAATACGGGGATTCTCAGGGGGCCTACGTCCTTGGTGATGTAGCCACCAACCTACCGTCTTTTGACCCCAATTGACAACCGTATCTGACATTCTACAAAACCTATTCATAAGGCTCTGGATTTCCTTCATGTTCTCTGATGTCGTCTCTGCCATAATAGTGAGGTCGTCAGCAAAAAGGGAACAGATTGGCACTGCCTCCTCAGGTATATCCGCTATCTTGATCCGAGTCAGATCCTTATTGTGCCTCAGGTTGGCGGAAAGTGCCTCCATAATGACTAGACAGAGGTAGGGCGCGATAGGGTCACCTTGTCTCACCGATCTTTGAAGCTTAAATGGAGGAGCCACCGACCCATTAACTTGTACACAGGTAGTGGCGTTATTATGGAGAATCCTCACCCATCGTCTAAAGATAGGTCCAACGTTAATTTTTTTAGGCATCTGTCCAAGAAAAAACAGTCGACGTGGTCGTAGGCTTTCTCAAAATCAATGAAAATAATGGCCGCATTTGCCCGATTCCTTTGCGCCAGTCATTCACCAGAAGGATGTTCTCTTGTATATTCTTACTGACCATAAAACCTGTCTGTGCTGGGTATATGACATCCTCCATTACCGACGCCATACGATTTGCCATGGCTTTCGAAAGCATTTTATAGAATACTATAAGAAAGGTGATAGGTCTATAGTTCTTGATATTCATTTTATCCCCCTTTTTGCATACTAACGATAGTACCCCTTTCCCTACTACTTCCCCCATCTCCCCAACTTCCCATACCTCCTTGTAGTAGTCCCACAGGTCCGGACTTAAGTCCGTCCACATCGCTCCCAAAACTCTTTAGGGAAGCCATCAATACTCGGGGTTCTTTCCTCCTTCATTTGGAGAAGCGCAACCCATACTTCATCTTTTGTCAAAGACTCCTCCAATCGGCCGCGCTGTTGCGGGGAAAGGCGTTTGTCCATGGGAAGTAAGAATTCTTCGAGTTCTCTTTCCCTTACTTCCCCCAGCGGGGTCGGGATTTGGGAAGTGTACATTGTACAATTGTTTGAAGAAATTCCTCGTGATTAATGTACAATGAGCGGTATCGGTCACAATAACCTCCTCCGTACTCTGGTTCATAGAGTGCCTCAATTACGGTTCGTCGCGCGGGGACCATAGCCATCGCGAAAAAATGAGTGTCCATCGTGGCTTCCTGAGTGAACTTGGTTATTTTCCCTCGAATTCTGATCCCTTGCCATCTATGTTGTGCGTACGTTAAGAGTTGATTCTTTACACTCGGAATGGAAATAGTGAGATGTTGTGAATCTTCCTGTTGTTCCAGGTCTAGCAATTCCTTGTGTATACTCAATTCTTGTCGATAGTGTTGGGCTGCTCTAACCTTAGAGAATTCCTTAAACTTTTTAGCCAGGAAAAATAACCCGTTATTGAACCATGTAGAGATTGAATCAAAGAGACGTTTTTGTTGGCACCAAAATTGCCATTCGAGCCGAATCATCTGTCTAAATGGGTCGTCCCTTAGGAGAGAGGTGTTAATCATCATGTCCGCAAACAAAATTTATCCACAAGATTGTCATTAACCCCTTGAGCTTTCCCTTCAACTCCGCCGAGGATAGTGCAGACATCGAGGAGGATGAACTATAGATGCTCTTATCATCACTCCTATCTGCAGCCACGAGCGGGATTCTTCAAAAAAAAAAAAAAAAAAAAAAAAAAAAGATGATAATATCCCCAGATTGACCTCTGAGGAATGCGGCATCATTCACTTTCTTTGCATGGATCAAGGGAGGAGACTACAATAGTCCAACCCGCAATCACGGCCTGGTCGAATGGCTAAATTGAGGGATGTCGAGAGAGAGTGCCTCCACCCGTAAGCCCAACACTCGGTCGACCACCTACTGCTCCTGCTCGACCTTCCACGGCCCAACCCCTCTTCACTTGAACTTTGTATCTTGTCAGGAAGTCCTCTAACATACCGATAGAGTCTGACTTATTCTCCCTTGGCGTTGAGTTCATTTGTGCCATTGGATATCTTGGTGTCGACCACTCGTCCACCCACTATTCCCTTGACGATGAGTTTCGCTTCGTCGTGTGGTCCACCCACCGCCTCTTGCTTCATCACCCTTGAGCGCAGCCCTGAGGTTATTATGCCTGAAGATTATTATGTATTCAGATCTTGTTGATGACTAGGACTGACTTAATCGGTTGGCCAAACTAGGCAAAGATTTGTGTTGGCTAATCAACACGATCTCCATCGCCATGGCTGGCTCCGCATCAACTCAACTTCATATCTGATGCTTGTGTTGGCAAGGCTGGGCTTATTTCGACTGGGATGGACTCTCCTATCACAGTCCGTTTACTAGGTGACAAGAACAAGACCATCATGATTGACTGCACCGTCCCCGAGACTTCAATGACTGCGGGAACCCTCCGCAGTTTTGTCTCCCTTCGGTACGAGTTGTCTCTTTGTTGGCAAATGCCGAGTTTAGGAATTACGACTGTGCACAGACTACTGCGTCTTGAACCGGATCATGATCAAGAGCATGTATTCCATGCCTAGGATTTCCAAACTTCTTGACCGCCTTCAAGGAGCCAAGTACTTTTCAAAGACCGACCTTCATAGTGGCTTCCGTCAGATCGATATTCGAGAGGAAGACATTCACAAGCCTGCCTTTCGTAGTCACTTCACTCACTACCAGTTCCTTGTTATGCCGTTCGACCTCATGAATGCCCCGACCAACTTCCAGTCTTGCATGAATCATGTTTTTCTCGATCTCCTCGAAGTCTGCATTATTGTGTACCTTGATGATATCCTTTTCATTAGTTGCACCTATAACAAACACCGCCAGCACGTTCGTTAGGTCTTGTCCATCCTTCAAGAGCAAAAGTTCTACGCTAAACTTAGCAATGTTCCTTTGCCGCCTCAAGCATCGACTTTCTAGGATGGACCCGGCAAAGGTCAATGTCGTCCTTGACTCCCCCGCTCCCACGAACGGTCACCCACTTCGCTTCTTCCTTGGCCTTGTGAACTACTATCATCGCTTCATTGTTCGCTTTTCTGATAACTCGTACCTCCTCTACCAGCTCACTTGTAAGAGGAACCCTTTATATGGACTTCCAGTTCTCAAGATTGCAGATCCTTCACAACCTTTCCTCGTCACTAAAGATGCGTCAGACTTAGCTTATGGCGCCATTCTATCTCAGACCTTCCCTCGCTAGTCCACACCCTCAATCATTAACCCTTCCATCGCAAAATCACCTACCACCCTGGAAGCCCCTGAGGGTGAGTATTAGAACGCCTTCGAAAGTCGGAAACTCATCCTTGCCAAGATGAACTACCCCGCCAGTGAGAATGAGCTCCTTATTGTCATTCATGCACTCACACAGTCAAGCGCTCATACCTTGATGGGCAACTTGGTTATCCGCACCAGAAACACTATTGTGTCCAATCTCATAACCGAGAAGGATATTACACCACGGCAAGCTCGTTGGCTCGACTTCCTTGCACAATTTACCTTAACCATCTACTACACACCCGTTGAAAGTAATTGTGTTGCTGATGCGTTGTTAAGAAGACCTGATCACAAGCCCGATGACAAAGTCATATGTCTCATGCCCAATCATCCCCATCATTCCATAACCGATTCTCTTGCAGTTATTTGTCTTGTCCCAACTTCTCTCATGTACATTCCCAGCTCCATGATTTGGACACTGTCCTCGATTTCTCCCTCATCGATGGCCTAGTGCACATAGACCTCGAGGGTTCTCCTAGTTTGTGTGTACCTGATGCCTGAACACGATGACCCAAAAGCTGCGAGTCATCTCAGATTTCAAAAAACCTTCACATAACATATCTGGCCTTTGCTACTCAAAGACGTCAAAGAATACATTCGATCTTGCCCCGCATGTCAACCTGTTAACCCTTCAAATCATGCCAAGTCTGCAAAGCTACTATCCTTGCCCATCCCCATGCAGTCAGTTTCCATGGACTTCATTTGTGGTCTTCCCAATATTGTTCAAGGTCACAAATGCATCTATGGAGACTGACCAAAGGCGCCCACTTCATCTCTTGTACTACCTCTGCCACAGCGAATGAAATTGCAACAATGTTTTTTTATCATGCCGCTAAGCTTTATGGCTTCCCTGAAAATATCATTAGTGACCACGGCAGGCGCTTCCTCTCCGTTTTTTGGAAACACTTGTTTCCCCCATATGGTACGACTTCAAAGCACAAAACTATATTTCATCCTCAGACTAATGGCCGGACTGAAAGATTAATAATACTCTCCAAAGAATCGTTAGGAAGTATTGTCATTCTCACAAACACGATTGGGACCAGTTACTCAATGTCGCAAAGATAGCCTACGAGAATGTTGTTTGCCCTGCCACCAGTATGTTCCGTTCTATCTTGATCTAGGTTATCACCCGCAAAGATAGCCTACGAGAATGTTGTTTGCCTCTGACTTGCTGCGTCCGCACCAAATGGACTCTTCCACCCCTAAGCTTGTCCTACTCAATGAATGGGTCGGTACAATGAGCCGCCTAATCCGTGAAGCCAGTGATTCCATCTACCTTGCTCAAGGTGGAATCACTGGCTTCACGGATTAGCCTCTTGTTACAGAGCTTGGGAATCACTTGGCCTTATTCGCAAGCTCTGTAACAAGATCGGGAATCACTTGGCCTGAAATTTACAAGGGAAGT